ATATATATATATATATATATATATATATATATGTTTCTCTCTGAATTTTTGTGACACATTATCATTATTTGCATTTGGACAACATTTACGTGCTAATAATTTTTGGGAAAAGTATGAATCCTCTTCTTCTCCCCCCAGCTATGTGTAAACAGCAGGACAGATCAGGTTCTATAGGCTTGGATGGCAATGTTCTACCGCAGAGAGAAATGGCAATCTACTGCAGGAAAAAAATCTGCCTCGTCAATCATGTATAAAAAGATACAAGTTCGCCTAAGCGTGTAGCATTCATGGCTCATAACTGACCGAGTGATTAACGTTATATCTTGTCAAATTACTTTCAGTTATTTTAGTTATCTTTAGATAGTAATGTTTTTTTTTTTAATCGGAATAAGGCTTCTTTTTGCTTTTTTTTTTTCAGCTTTTTTTTTGTCTAACATTTTATTTTGAATTCGATGATTGCTTATCATATCACTCATTGGAAAGTAATTTACGATGTTGGCTTTATGAAAACTATGCTTTGTTTTTACTAATATTGCATTCTTGTTTATATTTATTGTACATTTAATTACAAAAGAATAAATAAATTATATATGACACAATCCTTCTTTGTATTATTGTTATTATTGTTGTATATTTTTGATTTTATTCGACATTTTTTCGTCAGTTACATAATTAGGAAATACACTACGAGTTTTATGTTACTGAGTTCTTCATAGAATATTTATCGCGAACAGGAAATTAGTTTAGCTCTGTTAATTAAATATTTTTAATAATATCAATTTCGTATTTCTATAGACACGTTATTAAAATTAAGGAGGCATGAATTTGAATGAGTTTCTTTTTTTGTCTATAAAAGTGCTGAGATTATTATTTCAAGAATCAATTAGAAATTAGAATGTAATTATTATGCTATTACACTTTACTTCGTAGATAAATTGGGGGTGGGGGTATAATTAACTTCGAAGTATTTGTTGAGATAATTTGAAGTTTTTTAGCAAGTAGAAATAAGTAATCTACATATCAAACTTAAAGCTTTATTCAGATTTTCAATGAATGCTTTTCTTTGTGACCTGATTTTAGTTTAGTGTCGAACCTATAGGTGACCCCTCTGCTACATCTTCACCATGTACGTATATATTAACTAGAATGTCGTACAAGGGAAGACTGATAATATACAATTTTAAATATTATTTGAAATGTTTTACTGGAACTTTAGTAAAATAAATTATGACATTTAAGAAGTTAACCTAGTATTGTTGAATTATGTCGGCGTGTACGATTTGTTGGAATTTATGTTGCATTTCTATGAAAGGTATGACAGTATACTGTCATTATTTTTTATATTTGATAGACTGGAACAGGAACCTTGAAATGATAGATGGAAGTGGGGTACCAGTTCTGTTTTTATTTTTTCGTTTATATATCCACATTTATAATAAAATTCTTCAATTCCGTTATTTCTGCATTATATACCATATATATATATATATATATATATATATATATATATATATATATATATATATATATATATAATCATTTATTCTTTGTTGAAAGAGTTTTTTAGTATCCTTCTAGAGAATCTGAAATTTGTTGTCTAGAAGAATTCGATGTTTCAAGTTCTAATCGTTGTTTCAAAGCCTGTTTTGATGAACGTTTTTTCATTATTATACATTTATGTTTCGGCTTCTTTTAATTCGTTGTGAATGATGATTGTTATTTTATTGTATTGTTTATTTTTATTACTCCTTTTAATTGGACATGAATTTCTGTTTGTGATTTTCATCTTTATGAATAGATGACAGGTCCAACATCAAGAAAGTATTTTTCGGTAAGTTTTCGTTGTATTGTGCTAGGGAGAATTACCAAATATATAAGCAACAGCTTAACTTTTTCCAAAAACATAACCATTTCGAAAATATTCAGATAACTGATGATCAAAATTCAAATTTAGAATGACATCATAAAGCGTGACATAAGGAAACAAAATCAAATTCAAAATATATATCAAATAACTATGAACAACTGAGAAAGTGAAGGCTTAAACCGAAGCAAAACAGCATTACACCCTGAAGCTTTACAAGGGAATTGAAGTTCTTGGAGATAGAAATAATGGGCATTCAAGCCCCTTTGCTAATATGAAGGCAAACAGGTCTTTTGTGACAGCTATAATAGCGAAGAGAATTGGGAAAGAGAGTAAAAGGACCCCTAGCATCCAGATCGAGATGGCATCCCATCAAAGTGTGAAATAAAAAGTTTATATTTCATTTGAATAAAGTGTTTATTTCATGTTCCATCTGTTTTTACATATTTGAAATGTCTTCCTTTCTCACATTTTTCACTACTAGGCCTTATAGTGCCACTCCCTACTTGAGGGGCATACAATCAACGAGTTGGCCGCGGACATCACCAAAACTCAGCACTGGACAGCTATAAGTCCTTTTACTCTCTGTATTGTACTAAAGTTTGTTGATATTAAAAGAAAAACGAAATAGAACACATAAAAAAGCCATGGAATTAAGAGCAGAGTAACTTAGAATGTACAATTCCTGAACTGGAAAGGGCTCAAAAGTAAACGTTATGACAAAAAAAGAAAAGAAAAATGCCAGTGTTTTAATTGAGAATAGAGTTAAACACGTTGTATATTATATACTTTGGCAATGATACCTTTGGAATGAACATATTTAAGAAGATTTCTAAATCTAATCGATGTTTAGACAAATAGGACCTGAATGTTCTCTGTTGAGTTATGAATTATGGTTTACGACCATATCACGTTTAAACACCGAAGATACGCAGCAATGACACTGGTCAGTACCTAGATAGGTGACCACTTGGGAATATCAGGTGCTGTCAGCTTGGATGTTCGGGTTGTGTGATGGATAAGGCTCGGAATGAGAAATCGTAGAGCCGCGTTCGAATTCCATCCGAATTAGTTATATTCACTTACGTCCAAATACTCTTGGGAAAAGTATGAATCTGCGTCTTCTCCTCCCAAATGTGGGTTAAATAGTAAGACTTGTATCCGAAAACTATTATCTACAAAAAATTATCTTACAATCCGAAAAGATTTGTTTCCGCTTTAAGTAACCTTAAAAAGGTTGGTAAGCCGTAAAAAACGATTCATATTATGAATGACATTTCAAAATCCTAGGTTCCTACATGTAAGCCAAGTAGAAGTCTATATTAATTCTAGATTTAATCAACAATGACCAATTTTAAAAATCTAACATGTCTCTATTTTATGGTTTGGATAATGTGTTACTAACCACCAATAAAACACTTTATAAAATCGATAGAATCAGAGATGGAATGGATGTTTGCCAATAAATTATTGTTATTATTATTTATTTGATAGTGTTTTGATACTTAAACCATTGGGAACAAGTTTTTACTGCTTGCATCCCAGGATATGGTGCTGTTGATTAAAGATAAATAATTTGTAAAATTCCTGGACATGAAAAAATTGAAGACACCAGCCTTGAGAAAATTAAGGTGAGCCTATCTGTTGTAGTTTGAGGTAGAGAAAATGGCTTCTGATAAAAGTAATGTTAAATAAAGTAACCATTTAATTTGCTGCATCATAGATAAAACCTGAGTCAGCATCAAATTGAAGTCGGAAAAAAAAAACTAGAAAAGATAACATTTCAGTATCTCGATGTAGGTCAATAAAGATAGAAGCCAATTTCTGTATAAGCGTCGTTCTGATTGGAAAGTCGCAAGAAAATGTGGCACGTTGTAAAATTGGTGTTAAACTGCTGGGAAAAAATATAAATATATACAGAGAAAATAATCGGTGTTTTTACTTACATTTCTTCAAAGAAACTTGTAGAGTGGAATAATTACTGTGATTTGAAGGAAGACGAACAGAGAAATCAAACAACATCAGTGGAAACCACCCACATATAGAACTTTCATTACGTAATAGAACGAGTATATCAGTAATCTTTTACATTGAATTTCCATACGTTTGCTCATCCATCTGAAAGAAGATTATGAAGGTAATCTGATACAAGTTCGGATTGAGGAATAGGAAAGCAGAGTTCGAATTCGAGTTGAGTTCATTGCATTTACTAGCATTTAATATTTCATTGACAATTTACTGCTCCACTAAGTTTGCTCTAACATGCACATGTTAGCCACAAAAATAATAAAAGTACAGAAATTATTTACACTATTGTTTAAATTGTTGTGCTCATCTTCGTTGACTTATTCACGACGTTTTGACTGTTGTATGCCCTTGGTCTTCTTCAGGATCTGTCTATATTTCTGAGATGAGTTATTGAAATTATTTACACTATTTACATTGTTTAAACTGTTGTGCTCATCTTCGTTGTCATATTTACGACGTTTCGGCCGTTGTAAGCTCCGGTCTTCTTCAGGCGATTGGAATTTCAAACTAAACACTTTATTTCGTCCACCGGAGTAGATTGTTCTGATAGAAGAGTCATGACACGTGGAACTAGAACAATCTAGAACTAGAACAGTGCAAATAATTACAATACCTCATTTCAGAAATGTAGACAGAATAAAACTGATGAAATTAGTTCATTGAAGAACATGGATGACTAGTATGCAAACCTGATAAAAGCAATTTAACGAGCGTATTTTTCTAATATTTGTCATCTATCAAGAGAATAAATCGATATTTTATCGAAGCTATTACATTTAATAATTAAACAATAGTTATAGATAAGCTATGAATTGAATGATCTACAAGGACTCGTCTGCTCTTTTCGCTTTTTCTCAGCAAAAAGGTACACATTAATGTACAATTCCATATGTCATCAAAATAAAAATATCGATTACATATGAAATTGTAGATTGATAGCGTAAGATTTCATATGTCTTGCTAATCTGGACCTATTTCTATACTGGGCATAGAAATATGAAGAAATCAGTAGCCGGTAGTCACTTGAAGGTTTTTTGTGTATCGCTGAACTTTTAGCAGGTCAGGTCAGCGTGAGAATGTTAAATAGGGTTACAATTATCGTACAAAAATGTCTTTATTGCAGCTCTTCTTTCTTCAAAGAGCTTTCTTCCGTCGATCTATATTTACCGCCTAATGTTTAATATACCGTATATACTCGCATATCATTCGAATTTGAAGACCTAATTTTGAATCTAAATTTAAGGGGGTCGCATCATACACAAGATATAAAATTAGCGTATGTACTGCTGGCCCTAGCTACACCATTGACTATTTACTGTATCCATTTACTGCAGTTAAATTAACTTCAGAATTAGGTCTTGAAAAGTCGCATGGTACGCGTGTATATACGGCATATATAATGTAGGCGTAATGTTTCAAAATTATGCACGTATAAAGTTGTGTTTGCGTGTCTATATGCGTGCTTTAAAATGGATGCAAATATTAAAGATGAAAAAAATTAGAGCTTTGGAAAAGTTAAACCAACGAAAGAAATTACGAATATGTTAGGCGGATACCATGATACAATGAAGAATTTCGTTGATGAATGTGAATAACTAGGATAGAGGCGTGATAAATGGAAATTAATGCCTGTAACTTTATGATTCGTGTCATCTATCTAGAAAACAATTAAATCGACGTTGTGAAGCTATTACATTTTAAGGTATTGCATCTGCGATGAAATGTTGAACATTACTAGATATAGTCCTAAAACAAGTGCTAAAATATGTATGAATAAAAACTTAGTCTCCTAAAAAGGAAAGTAAAAAGGAAACTCGAATAAAATCGACAACGGATAATAGGACAATTTATTTTTTCAAACGTTATTTACAAATAAGAATTTCCTGCTACATTCTGTGAACAAGATGCAAAGAGCAAAGACCGTGCGGATATTGAGAATAACCACCTGCACAAAAGCAGATGTACTGAATAGGGAATATTGGTATAAAGTGTTGAGTCTATGGTGAGTTCGATAGGCTGATAAGATGATATTTTTGAATGCACAGGTGTAGCCATGGTTCAAGAAGAATCAACCGTTTTTCAAAAGATACGTTATGACATTCAGCAAAATATCTGAAGAAAATGGGGTTTTAAAATATTCGTTTGATCATGTGGATCATTCTGAAAAGTATGGTTATATTGGCCAAATAAGATTTACCCGCGAAGATGAATTTGGGAATGCTATCATGGCCAATCATGGAATACACAATGTATATAGGACTGGTTGGAATACCTGACCATGTAGATATACCTCACCAAAAATGTGATATTTTGTCATTTAGTCAGGTATATATATATATATATATATATATATATATATGTGTGTGTGTGTGTGTGTGTGTGTGTGTGTGTGTATATATATATATATATATATATATATACACACACACACACACACACACACACACACACACATATATATATATATATATATATATATATATATATATATATATATGCATGTATGTTTCATTAAAAAGCGACAGACAAGGTACTCCAGTTGTGCTTTTTATTTAATTTTTCTTGTGTTCTGACAAGAGCTTTGACAAATGGTGTGTAGAACTGTCCGAATGTTTTATATTTCCGAGCGCTTTCGGCTATACCTTTAGCCATTATCAAGGATGATTCGATTGTCAGCTTAGTTGAGTGTGTGCGTTCTATGTATGTATCAGTGTGTGGTAGGGATGTTTTTAATTTCCGAACACGGTCAGTACATTGTGGCTTTGTTCATAGTTAACATTGTTAAGAGTTGGCGTTTTCTTTTTTATTATTAGAGCTTCCATTATTTTTAGTCTTTTTTTTGCAAGTGGATGCAGTTAATATATTTGTGTTTTCTACTAGTATTTTCCCAATGGTGTCGGGTAAATCTGAATGTGTGTTTAAATGTGTTCTGATCGAGCTGTGATCAGATAGGTGTAAGTAAGACGTCTGGATAAACATGTGGTTGTGTAGCCGATGTAATTATTTATGTGTCCGGTTTGGTGAGGAACGCAGTTCCTTTAAGGGCATTTGAACTCATAGATAATGTTTGTTCTTTGTAATTTTGACTTAGTTGGTGGGTTGTTATTTTTGAGAATAAGGTTGGCTGTCTTAAATTTTTTATAATAGATAATAAGTTTGATTTTTTTATTCGGATCAATAGTAGTATATTTCTTTATAATATGCCTTAGAGATGTCCATTCTTAAATGTCCTCATTGAACACAACAATAACACTTTCATTACATCATTATACAAAAAACCCATCAGCAAAAACTCGTGCCACCTTAATTTCAAAAGCGAATGTCCACTTAGGTACAAAATAGCAGTAATAAAAAACTTTCTAAATAGAGCACACCGGAACTCATCTTCTCGACTATTCTTTCTCAAAGAACTTAACAACGTTAAACAAACACTAATCAACAACAGTTTCCTTAACTTCCTTATAGACCAACAAATTAGACTATTCCTCCCCAAAGCATATAAATTATGCTTTATAAAAAATTTAAGACAGCCAACCTTATCCTCAAAAATAACAACACACCAACTAAGTCAAAATTACAAAGAACGAATATTATCTATAAGTTCAAATGCCCTTTAAGGAATTGCGTTCCTGATCAAAACGGACTCATAAATAATTACATCGGCTACACAACCACATGCTTATCCAGACGTCTTACGTTACACCTATCTGATCACATCTCCATCAGAACACATTTAAACACACACCCAGATTTACCCGACACCATTGGGAAAATACTAGTAGAAAACACAAATATATTAACTGCATCCACTTGCAAAAAAGACTAAAAATAATGGAAGCTCTAATAATAAAAAAAAAACGCCAACTCTTAACAATGTTAACTATGAACAAAGCCACAATGTGCTGACCGTGTTCGTAAATTAAAACATCCCTACCACACACTGATACATACACAGAACGCACACACTCAACTAAGCTGACAATCGAATCATCCTTGATAATAGCTAAAGGTATAGCCGAAAGCGCTCGGAAATATAAAACATTCGGACAGTTCTTACACACCCTTTGTCCAGAAAAGAAAGCTCTTGTCAGAACACAAGAAAAATTAAATAAATGCTTAACTGTAGTACCTTGTCTGTCATGTCATGAATAAACATTAATATATATATATATATATATATATATATATATATATATATATATATATATATATATATATATACGTGTGTGAGTAGTGTGGCCGTAGGTTTGTCCAGACAACTGTGTTTATTCAAAAGATAGACTATCGCATTTCTGTTTTAATGCAAATGTCCACACAAAGTATATTTGCGTAAGTTCCTGATATTGAGCACTTCCCTCCCATAAATATACGCTTAAAATTATATTTTACTTATATATGTGTCTTTCTATGATACAGGTATACATTATGCATGTATACACACACGGACACATATGTGTGTGTGTTGTGTGTGTGCGTGTGTGTGTGTGCAACGTAATAAGTTGATTGATACATGTATGCTGATATCGATACACATTACAGTTGAATCGCTTTTATAACTTTAATAAAAATATGTAAATTTAATATGTGAAGGAATCACGATTCGGAAGTTAGAGAAACAAGTTGACTACATTTTCGAATGTGTGCATGATTTAATAAGGGCAATGTCTTTCATGGAATTCAAAGTAAGATTGAATAGAATTTTTCAGGGATTCATGCTGGGAAACAAATATATTTAAATCTATCTATCTATCTATCTATCTATCTATCTATGCTTATTTGTACAATGATCTTTCGCTTATATAAGTCTTGTGACAAACCAAAGAAAGTTCTTTGTTTAGGAGATTTGTATCTATATATTTATATTTTCAGAGGGATTCTCTTGAATATTTGTTCTGTATTTGGATCATTTCGACTACTTTGATAATGGAATATAAATGAATTCGGATTTCGTGCAACTGAAATTCAAATTTACAAGCAATCCAGGAAAATGGTTGAAAATATAAATAAAATAAGTTTAACAAAGAAGTTTAATATTTAGTTCATAATTTCGATCAGAGTGAGATATGAAAGGGAACTTCGCCATTTATAAAGGTACATAAAGTGGACTGACATTTTAATAGTTTATACTGAATATATAACAAACATACAAAACCTTATAACACGCCGCACATGAAATAAACGACAAATTAGGAAACTTGCAAACTGTTTTAATTGTATATGAAAACTAGCAGCATGGCCCGGCGTTGCCCGTGCTTGATTCAAAAATCGTACGACTCATACAGCAATCGCTATCACTTGACTTAAAATATTTTTGCCCTTTCTTGCCTTTAAAGGAGTGCCCTTTGCCGTGCTGATGTTGCTACATGCCTTACTTCTTGCCTATCTCACACTGTGAATTTTTTCTAACCTCTATACTAAACATTAAATCTGTTACGAAAAAAGAACTAAACAAAATGAACACAAAACGATCAGCTTTAAAAAAGGACTCGTAACTGGAAAAACCGAATGAAAAAAGAATGTTAACAACAAATACTTTTTCACACCCAACCCAGTTCTGCGGAATCAGAATCAACGTTGAGTTTAAGCAAGCGAATAAGCCAATTGGAGTAAAGTGCCATGCAGATTTAAATGTTTTCCACTTGTGACGAATGTAGCTATCGATTTTTTTTTGCATACTAGCATGCTAGTTAACATTCGTGTCAGTCAATAGAATCGTCTTGCCGATTCTGGCCAGTAGAAAATGGCCGCAAACTACATGAAAGCTGCCGTATATGTATAAAAAAATCGATTATTTCCACTATCGATGGGAGTTGGGAAATGCAACGTCGGTCTTGGCTTTTCTAATAACTTGGAGCATGTGCATGTACATTTTGGTGCAAATCCATCGAAAATTGCGGCCGTGCATTCGTTACACACACACACACACACACACACACACACACACATACACATCCTGCCTTTTATAGATAGAGATCTCTCAAGTGAAGAAAGGACTCACAAATTTTCTTGCGTATAATATAATGGGGATAGTATTATACACAAGTATATGTTTTCAGAAATTCTTACTTAACTTAAAGAAGATCTTTTTGAAACAGCAAGATTGAAAATGTACTCAATACATTAGATAATAAAGCACAAAGTAGACGTGTGTTTATAAGTATTGTTTACAAAAAGTAACTGATATGTCGGCAATATTTGTTCTTTGCGAATCAACGTAATTGAATGTCGTTTGTCTCAAAGACGGGAAATTCATCGAAATTGATTAAAAACATTAATAAAGAGAATAGACAAGATTTGTCATATTTTGATGACATTAATGTTAGAACAAAGCACCTTTCCCCGACAGTGAGTTTTGAAACGGAAATTAGAAGAAAAACGTAATGGCTAAACATCCGGTTAATTTCTAGTATTTAATATCGTGAAAAATTAAATATTTTAATGAAGTATTTGTACGACATTGAGATTTAATAGATAATATTCTACTTAACCCCGCCCCACAAAAAAAAAAAAAAATATAAAAAAATAAGGACAGCTATATTATAGGAAACTTCGGAAACACTGGGTCGTATTATACTCAAGAAAATACGGTACGTAGTGGAGCGAAATAAAGATATATATATATATATATATATATATATATATATATATATATATATATAAAAATAAAACTTTTAAAAAATAAATTGCTGTCAAAAATTAACGTTTTTTATAGTGTTTTAGGCGATATATATCTGGCAACACTGCGTTGGTCATTGTAGATTTGAGAAAATGGATGGTTCCCTAGTGTCTGCCTCCCTCGACAACTGATCTACAACTTCACCATACCGTCTGCTACACAGCCTTACTGAATCTGGATTGTAGTAGGTGGGGGCAAAAGAAACAAGTTGCTAATTAAGAATTACAAGTACTTCAAAAAATTTGGGGTAACAAATCACTCCATGTGACTAGCAAAGGGTTTATAGATTCATTTGAATTATCTAACTCTCTATTGACTGGATTACATCTCAGATACTCGGGAGACATGTTTTGAAATTTTATTTTATTCGTTTACTGTTTATGATCAATACCTTAATATAGTTTGTTTTTATTAAAAAAGATTGCTTGACATAAAAGCATAACCATTAAGTAATACAGTGATCGGTATATATATATATATATATATATATATATATATATATATATATATATATATATATATATATATATATATATAATGGGATACCCAGTCCTTATTATTTGTGTAACATGGGTGCAATCAAATGGCAAATGGCTCGTTCGTCTAGTTGATAGTCGCAACGAACCCAGTTCAGCGCATGTCAAAATTCGGAGATCCTATCCCCACTCGTCTATGCGTTTAACCTTTCTTAAACACGCATTCAAATTAATGATTGTTTTAAAAGCACTAGAGCCACGCATGCGTTTTATCAAAATTGCAAATGGCGGCCTTGATCGGGCAAACGAGACGTCGTGGCCTCTTAGCCATGGGTAGATTATAATTCTTTGGTCCTATTTCACCGTAGTTCATATTTCCGAGATTAAGCATAGTCAATTACTCAGGTTTTACTAGTATTTCTGTAGCTGTTTATTGAAGCACTGTTATCTTCATTCCACCATATAGATTAAGTGGTGAAATAAATTACAATTAAAAACAAGCCTAAAATGAAAGAAATGCAAATGAAAAGTTAATGAATTGACAAGGCTTCATTAAAGAAATTAGAACAATTTTAAAAAATAATACTCGTCATGTGTGTGTGTATATATATATATATATATATATATATATATATATGTATATATGTATAGATTAGAATAAATTCTTTTTTAATACTACCCATATTTTAAATATTTGAATAGCTATTATAACATGCCTTCGTTGTCAAGCTTTTTTTCCTATACTTGTATTTTGATTGGTCCATCTAGCTTTTGTAACAACGTTTTCCCCTTGTGAAGGATTGTTAATTAATTCGAAACTTTTAAAACCATTTATTTTACATTCAACATCATCACTTGAAAAGACACTGAGAGTGTTGAAACAAAATGGCTATTTTGTAGTGATTTTATAACATATTTATGTTATAAATTTTTTAAATAAAAATTAATATATATATATACATATATATATATATATATATATATATATATATATATATATATATATATATATATATATATATATATATATATATATATATATATATATATATATATATAACTAAGATATTTTCTGAAAAGTAAAAAGAAAAGATTTATATCTAAATTCTAAATGTCCTCCATTCGCAAAACCAATTTGTAAAGTAGATAGGACGGAAAAATCATTCCTAAGGAGAAGGTATATAAATCCGAAGATAATCGATAGTTTATTCTTTATATACAATATGAGTGGCTTAATTGACAATTGTGGAATGATATTGAGATTTGTGATAAAAGTAATAGACCAATGAAAGAAATACAAATGAAGAATTAATATTTAAAATATAATACTCCTTGAAAGAAAATGTCTTTTTTCCTATTTTCTATCGGCTAATAGATAACAATTCCAGCTTACCAATTATAAAGAATGTAGAATGGAAGAAGATTGTGTTGCATATATATTCTAGGTAATTATTTACAATGTTCGGACGAATGTTTTCATCTTTGTTGCCATATTCACGACGTTTCGACCGTTGTACTCTGCGACATTCTTCATGCAATTGCAATTTCGAATCGAACCGTTTATTTCATCCACCGTGGTAGATTATTCTTGTTGCACGTGCCATGTCACTTTCGGATATTTCAGTTTCAGTTATGTCCCTTTAAGTCGACCCTGCTGTAACCAGGTACTGAAGTCACAACTGGATTACTTTAACAAACGCTTTCACCCACCGGACTAACAAAGGTGGAAGCAACAGTCCGAACATTGTAAATAATGTAAATAATTGCATAACATCATATAGATAGATATCTTCGAAATAGCTGTGATAAGACTGACTTAAAAATTCCTATTGGAAATACAAGCTTTTTTCTTGATATTTGTAATAAATAAACAAATACCTGAGTTAATATCAGACTAATATCTATTCTATTTATTGAATAACATTCCCCTTTATTTAAACTTGCACTAGAAAATTGAGTCGTGCATGTGCGCATTGAAATTGTTTTATCATTATAACGCTGTTAGACTTCTTGTTAAAAGCCCGTAAGTAACAAGGTAGATACTCTTCTGGTTGAATGCACGTAAGTAACAAGGTAGATACTCTTCTGGTTAAATGCACGTAAGTTACAAGGTAGATACTCTTCTGGTTAAATGCACGTAAGTTACATGCTAGATACTCTTCTGGTTAAATGCACGTAAGATACAAGCTAGATACTCTTCTGGTTAAATGCACGTAAATTAAATGCTAGATACTCTTCTGGTTAAATGCACGCAAGTTTCATGCTAGATACTCTTGAGATACAGTTTGCTTAGTTCTTGTTAATATTAAGAAACATGGAGGTCTCCTTAAAACAGATATATGTTAGTAAGTGATTTTTATTTTTACAATGATCTAAAAGGCCCGAGGACCTCTAGAGTTAGTGAGTTATAGAATAAGAGTCACAGCTTACTCGGATATGTGTGGAAGATAACCGTTAACCCTAGACATGGACAGTTTAAGATTCGGTTCCACAAGGCAGTGGTTCATCGGATTATGCTACATAAGCGGACTTACATATCACCAAGGGAATACGAAGAGAATTAAGGTGGTTCGTAAAAATGTGTGTATCATGGCGGTTCTTAGCCTTGAAGGTCAGGACTGGTGGATCTGAAGAGTGTAGTTCGTCCGAGCACTTTCCATGGAAATAGCAACAGAGCAGCAAGAGGTTTGCGACTTTTCGCCTGTGAGAAAAGGGATTGTAGGGTGGAAAATAATTCATCATCGACAAGTACGCCGAGACGCTTTTGAACTCTATCGAGGCTGGAAAGTGAAAACTGTGTAGCTCCTGTCCATATATGGCAGCACTACTCCATATTCAGGCTGATCTGGCTTTTGTAAAATTAAAGAATAGCAGGAGGCGTGAGGTACCTGTTGGAGCAGGTATAGGCAACCGGCCAATATTCCAGCATCCTTAGCGATGAATAGTATGCATGATTTCCACTTAATTCTGTGAGTAATCGCAAATATTTATATATATGCAAATATTTTTTCTGTAAAACCTTCACAGTACCAGTACGGCGTGCGTGTGTTTATCTGAATAATAATTTGTAAGGCCCCTGGCCAAGACGAAGATGCGCAGTTGAGTTCCCCCCACATAACCCTGATTTAACACCTGCAGAAATTTACATATGAGGGAGCCTAAAAGAAGTTGAATCAGAAAACTGACTATATTGGAGGCCCTTAGACAATAAATTGAAAAATGCATGTGCAGCAATCCCGGTGGACACTTTGGTCAACTTTACCCAAGCGGTAGTTTGCCGTACTAATAAAGTTTAGAAGTTAAAGGCTAACATTTTGAGCATCACTTAGAATTTAGAACATAAAGGTAACTTGTATTAGTCTCGTGATGTCTGAATAAATTACAAAATTACAATATCTATACAAGTTTTTCCTTTACTGAAGTGTGCACATATTTTTGGTGGACTCTGTAAATATAAAAATTAAACAATGAAGGTAGGTTCGCTGGGAAAGAGAGGGAAAATATGAAATATTCAAATTACTTGCATAAACTTCTTGTAGATGTAGTCATTTTTGTCAGGACGAATGGGAGGAAAACGCATAAAATATTAATGGATACAGGCTGTACATTTTGGAGCTGTTCTCCTCATTGTAGAATGCATCAAGCAAGTCAACTGAAAACGCGCGTATCGAAAGAGAGATTGTATTGAACCCATTGTGAGTGACTAGATTTCAATGTTGTTGTGTCTGATTATGAAAAGCTCGACTGAAAGGTCACATTTGAAGTCATGTGCAAAGAGACAGTGCATTGAATATAAATGGTAAAATCAACAGAAAAGCACGGGTATCAGAAGCAAAGGAAGAAAAAATCTGGTTTCACCAAGTATGGAAAAGAGATGGAACCAATCAAGAAAACACAGAATATTCCCAAAATGAATTAAGTCTATAATTCTGAGATGACATATCGTAATTATTTAGATTATTTACTTGGTTCGGACTGTTGTCCTCATCTTTGCCATATTAACAACGTTTCGACCGTTGTGCACTCCGGATTCTTCAGGTGTTTGGAATTCCTAACCGAACCCTTTATTTTATCCACCCGGGTAGATTGTTCTAGTTCCACGTGCCATTCCTCTTCCTGATTTCAGTGTTAGTTATCTCCCTTTTAATTCATATGTCTAGGTTTTCGTTCACTTCTGCTGCAGCCAGGTATTGAACTCACAACTCTTTGGGTCAAGTCACTGGATTCAATCAACACTTTTATCTACTGGGCCATGTGGAACTCGAACAATCTGCCCCGTTTGACGAAATAAAGTAAATAAAGAACGGACAAAACTAGGCACTTCAACGTAGTTTAATGGTTAAAGAACTTGTCTTCCTTTATTTTTCAATGTAGAATTCATGCAACACACTATCGCTTGGTTTGATTAGGTAAGCCGCCATTTTCTTTGTTATAATACCCTTTATGAAACTGGCCACTCAGCCCTTCCGGCTAAGGCCGCTCTTTCCTTGGTTGAAGAGTTAACAAGGGGAGATTAACAGTTCTTCACATTTTCTTTTTCAACATCAGTTTTGTGTATATATGTATTAATTCACTATCTGATTAGTGAGTTCAATCCTTGTGCCACATCTAGGCTACGTTTAGATAATCATTTGGGCAATTCGGCGAGGTGGAATGGTTAGCAAGCATATCTCGCTAGATCAATTACGACTGAATAGTGAGTTCGATCCTCATTGGGTGCCTCACACTTTCCGCCTTGTGCCACATGTAAGTTATGTATAAAAATCATTTGATCAATCACGGCTGAATAGTACGTTCAAATCTCACTGGGTGCATCCATACATTTGCATTGTACCACATCATCGCTTAGAAAATCACCACAGAACGAAAAAACGTCATTAAATCAAATACTACTCAAATCCACTTCTAATGTGGCTACTTGTCATATTTATAAATAGGATCTCTCCATTGTCACAGTAGTAGATAAGAGCAGGAAGTCCTATTCTACAAAAGTAGAGCTCATGAGCGGTAATCAGCTGCAAATGTCTATTATGGTGTACAGATGTGGGTTCATTGTTTTTGAACAAAAACGACATTTGAAAATTCACTAAAATATTAATGTCACAACTATTGCAAAAGACGCCGATCATATCTAGGGAAAATAATATAAGACTATCGGGATTAGATATGAAATAGGATAAGCGATAACATTGTTCAGAATTGAGTCGCAAACATATATATATATATATATATATATATAATTTTGGTGGTTTGTCAAGCGATGGTATTGAATGTAGAAAAAAGAGTTTTAAAAGGTTAAAATCGACAAAAAAACCTCAGTAGGGGGAAACAGCGTTTTCCTTATTGAGGGGTGTATGGTCGATTTGAACCTTTTAAAACTCTTTATTCTACATTCAACACCATCACTTGATAAGACACCAGAAGTGTTGAAACAGAATGGGTATTTTGTAGTGATTTTATAACATATCGTTGTTATAATTTTCGAAAAGTTATATTTACTCTCCTCTGTATTGAGCACTCTTTTAAGAATAGTACTTTGGGTTATTGGAATTTATTTATTCCCTATATACCAAACCTAAACCTATATATATATATATATATATATATATATATATATATATATATATATATGATGTAATGTCTGTGTCAGGTCCCTCTACAAGTACAACTGTTACCTGCTAGTACTAACTGATAGTCTTCGGTGCCTAACCTGTTACCCTGCATTTTCCTAGAGAGGCCGGTGGCTAAAACATATTACAAATAAAACACGACATATTAAAGGGCAGATTGACCTTGCAGTGTCAAGAGACATTTATCACGCAACACACTGGAAATGCTGCCAATCTTAGTCGTAGTCAAGAAAATCAATTAGGAGAAGGAATATTCTGAAGTAATAACTGCAGCTCATTTCAACAAGGAATATAGACTTGCTATTCCTTTCGAATTATTGCTTTTGATGCTCAAAGATTGGCTTGGTTCCAGTGCGGTGTCTTACCAATCTATAGAAATTGGTCGATTATCTAAGATTTTGTTTGGTGAAGCACAGTCTAGCTGTACAACCAAATTAATGATTAACAAATATTATTGATACAAATATTAATGCTCTTGAACTGTTTCAGATCGACTGTTGGATGATGCTACTGATAAAAATATAGAAGGACTAGTGGCAAACAGTACGAGTAATTGGCTTGGCAAAAAACATTCCATTATGAGCAGGCTGCATGTATCTATGGCTTCTGGCCATATCATGTTGAAAGACCGGTTCTTGTAAGATCACCAAAATTAAGCAACACCAAGACTGGTCAAAACCTAGATAAGTGACTGCTTGGAAATATCAGCAGCTGCAAGTTTTGATGTTCGTGTTATGTCATTGGAAATCGGAAAACCTCTTCTCCCCCTTAATATGAGTTAATTAGTAGTTAATCATCTAGTAGGACATTTATCAGTAAACTAATTGACATCAAAAAATTCTGACAATCTAAAACATTTATTGGATTTAAATAACCTGTTAAGGCGTAAAAATAAATAGATCTATCTATCTATCTATCTATCTATCTATCTATCTATCTATCTATCTATCTGTCTGTCTGTCTCTATATGTATATTGATCTATCTCTCTCTCTTAATTGCTGCCTCTCTATCTCTATCTCTCTCTATCATTCTATTTATCTTTATCTTTATACACACACACAAACACATATATATGTATGTATGTATCTCTGTCTGCCTATCTATCTATCTATCTATCTATCTATCTATCTATCTATCTATCTATCTATCTATCTGTCTATCCCTTTATATCTATCTGTCTATCTATCTATTCATCTCTGTCTCTCTGTCTCTCTTTCTCTCTCTCTCTCTCTATATATATATATATATATCTTTGTATCACTCTCTCTCTCTATATATATATGTACCTTTCTATCTCTCTCTATATCTCTCTATCACTCTGTCTCTCCCTCCCTCTCCCTCTCTCTCTCTCTCTCTCTCTCTCTATATATATATATATATATATATATATATATATATATATTTGTTTATAATCATAAAGATAGGCTTGTCCTATTAGGCGTGATATAAAGTAATTGCAAAGATATAAACACTGCACTAATAGTAACCGGCCTAATCATTTCCCACTAAATTAATGTAATGACTAATTAGCTGAACAACGGCTTCAGCGGAAGAAGCAAGCTGCCTGCTTTAGTAAAATACGTTTGTTTATTTCTTCCTTGAAGGTGTAAATAAATGGCTGTCAAACATCAACTGAAATAACGAAATCAAATTTATATGTGACGCTGTAATGATTAAAAGTTTTTGAAACTTTTTAGGCATTATATTAAAGATATTGAAATAAAAGGTTACTGACAAGAAGTATTATGTCCTTCAATTTACATTTTTTTTACCATTATTCTTAGCAAATATCATCGTTGAAAGAACCAACAGAAAGTGCTAAACTTATCGTTTCTATAATTTTATTATTACGATGGGATGCGGAAAACATCCAGTTTAATTTAGAAAAAATCACTCCCCTCAAATAAATACGACTGGGATATTTGTTCAGATGTTGTGAAGGGATCAAGATTTCATTTTTTAACACCTTTGTTTACAGATATTGTATAATGTATAGATGAATGTGTTTGGTTTACTTTCCTTCCTCTGTTTGGTTGGTCATGTGACCTTTACGACCAGCCATTGAAGCCTAATAAGCACAGAGAAAACTTCTTGCGTAGAGGCTGACACCTTTTTCTTTCAGCATGACGTTCTGGATTTGGGAGACATTTGTAACACATTTTCTTATTCAGGGTCGGGGAGAAGGCATGTTTGTACACTTTCTTACATGTTTTGTTTTTTAGGAAATAACACATCCATTTAATTTCTTCTGACTCCTATCTTGCCGTCCTTTATATTTTTTATTATAAATTATTACGTTATTATAGTTACCTACAACAGTAGCTATTAAAGCCACCTTCTTATATTTAGTAAAGCCAAAAAATGTAATCTCTCAAAGATGAAACCATAATTTTCTTTAGAATTCAAAGAGATTATTGCAGTTACATGGGTTTTAAAATATTTTTACGATATAAATCAGGGGTTCCCAACCTTTGTTGTTTCTTCACTCACATTCCTATATCTATATAGTAAATATTCAACAGCATACAAAGATTGATAAACATTTGTTCTTCTTGGGCCGTGTTTCTTTAGGACTTAGGTGATCATGGTTTGCCACACTTCCCTGTCATTTGTAGCTCGTTGTTACTGGTTCATAAACTAACTTTATCATGTAAAAATACCAAAGGAAGAAAACAAATAACACTGATTTATATGACGGTCCCTGCTGCTAATATATTAAAGAATAGGCAGTTAGCATTGCAAGTATTGACAAAAAAATTAAACGATTTTAATTCATAACTAGCAGTAGAGCCCGGCATTGCCCGGGGATGTAACAGTAAGAGATAGATCAAGTATCGACCATCATAAAAACTGAAAAATAAAATTGTTTAAGGTTGACGGACACGCATGTCTTAATTAGTTTTTTTTTGTTTTTTTACGAATTGGTCAAACCCAAACTCAAACAAAAACATTGTTTCCAATCGTTATGAGTCTACCGATTGAATAGAATTTTTATTATAAACAATTGTCTTGTAAATAGAATTTTTAAAGCATTCTGTATGTAAAAATAAAGAAAAAAGTGTGAAAGACAATAAGAAATACTACTTGCCAAAAAAAGTGAAGTTTTGTTGAAATCGGTTGAAAAATGTAGGAAATTCGATCCCATATATAAACGAACACACACACACACACACACACAAACAACCAGGGTTTTATAATAAGTATAACTCGATATGAGTTGTCTCCCTTTCATTCTGGCGACAGTGATGCCTCTTAATCGTGTTTTCAAATTGATTTCGTGCATAAGCAATTGTGTTTTTCCAATTTTTGTCGCTGTCAGAACCACCGCAATGTAATTTTACGTAGTCCTGTGAAGTTTTGTTGAAATCGGTTGAAAAATCTAGGAAATCCGATCCAATATATAAACGAACACACACACACACACACACACACACACACACACACACACACACACAACCTGCGCTTTACAATAAGTATGATTATAAAATTAAAATACGATACACAAGTAGCAATTAAAAAAAATTCAGTGAATATTTTCTTGTTGTCTTACTCTTCTCTTATTTGATTTATATCCGAAAAAGTGTTACTTCGTTTGAAGAAATATTTGAATGTCAATTACCTTTCTGAAAACTATAGTAAATACTAAAATATTCCTTGTTTGAAGGGATATTTTATCTCGCATTTATTCTCATTTAACCTCCTTTTTTATACAAGTTCATTGCATATCGCATTTTGAAAAAGAAAACAATTTCGGGTAGCATATGCTGAAATAAATTTTTAATACTCAAATTCCTATATCGCCCAGAATTTTCTGTTCAGTTTTTCATCGCCCACACAACAAATGAAATTGCCCACAGGTGGGCGATATGGCCCATGTTGGGAAACCCTAATTTAAATTGACTCAACATAAATAACACGAAACTATTTACAAGTAGGTTGTAAAAATCTTTCCGCTTTTATCATTTCCCAATATTGTTTTGGAAAATGGGTAGAGCCAAGAAATTTTCAACATCACTTCAGCACAAAACAGATTATTTACGCAATATAGGCTTGCATGACAGTAAAATAATTTGGTAAGAAAATGAAACACTGCATCAATTACGCCGAGAAAGCATTTCGTAGGCGCAAACATCAAAACAGAAGACGTTTATTCGAAAAAATACAGTCTGACCTTCGCTCAAGCATTGCCGGCCGATGATTACACCATGATGACTTCCGGTTATCGATATCGCCAGTTTGCACCGGAAGCTGGGAAAGGGCCTGATGCATGCTCACTAGGGAATACGAAAGACAAAGGCCAAGTCGAGAAATAAGAACGTGAAATCTAATTCCCATATTTAGATGTTATATTTAGGGCTTTGCCTGCTCGTCCGGGTGGGTAGGTAGGTGATATTGGTGTATCAGCTCCCCGCCTTTCAACTCCCCACCCATTTACTCACCTCGACGCGGAGACAGGCAATACGAAATGGAGGCTTCGTAATGGCTCGACAGGATACATCTGTTTCCTGCCAAGTGCGGATCAGAATTCTTCCCGATTTCAAGCATAACTCTTATAGACCAGCACACGGATATAGACTATTTCCGGTTTTGCTACCGATTAACACTTCATCCATACCCTTACTTTCACCTAAACCTTCGATCAAATTGGATGCCGAACTTCAAAAGAAACTATCTACTGGTTCATCAAAGAGAAAGTGTTGAGATCGAAATAAAACTACCTCTTCGTTTTTATGCGGGTGTCTAGAGAATCGTATATTTTCAGGTGGCTGAATAGTTTACCTTTACAAAACTGTCAATATTAACCTTAAATATCTTTCAAGCACTAGATTTACATTTTTTAATGAATAAAAATGCATATTATTAAGGAGATTGCCTATATTTCTGAGATGAAGTATTATGTACATTATTTACATTATTCGGACAATAGGCCTCATCTTTGTCTTGAGGACATCTGGATATGAATTTCTGGGTATTATAAACCTAACTTCTTTAGCAACCATTTTTACCAGTGCTCATATTGCAATTTTTTGCTGTTATCAATACATGTTTTTACCAGATCTCATATTGCAACTTTGTTGTTATCATTGCTTTTCTCTGGCACTCATTATTACTGGTTCCCATATTGTATTTATTTCTATGCTTGGTCGGCTCAGGAGATTTTTGTGACCTAGCATGATTAGGTTGTGCTGATTAGGTTTATAATACCCAAGGACATATGGCACAGTGGATAAAGGCGTTGGTTAGATCCAGTGACAGGACCCAAAGAGTGTGAGTTCAATACCCGGTTAAGGCAGTAGAGAACTTTCAGAGGGAAATTAACAGGAGATAACTGTTAACTGATAACTGACATCCATCAAACATGGCACGTGGAACTAGAACAGTCTACAGTGAGCGAAATAAAGGGTTCAGTTCGACATTCCAACCACCTGAAGAAGGCTGGAGCGTACAACGGCCGAAACGTTGTAATAAATATGGCGGCAAAGATGAGGACAATAGTCCGAATAATGTAAATAATGTATTACGGAGATAAACCATTAAATGTGTCATATTCATAGTGCTGTTACCGAACCTCTAACTAATCTAACTGCTTATAAATCTGATTCTCACTTTATTTTTTACTTGTAAGGAAACAAACCAGCTTTGTGGACATTGTATTCGCGTGTCGATTTATCTATCTATAAAACAGATGTCCGTGTATGTGTGGCTGTGTATGCAATTTATACAAGTTCACATTTCTCATCGACAGACTGATGATGAAATTGTACACACATGTTGCAAATTTACCAAGGTAGGTTACAACTCAAGTTTGTCAGAATAATTGATAAAACTGAAGGTGGGTACGCCTTTTTGCAAAAACCAAAGTTACACGCGAAGGAAATTTTTACTCGATGAGCTGATATTCTTTGCACTTAAAGCAAAACATAGCTCATGTTACGAGATTTAGAGTGTTTCATAATTTTCCTGCGACACGAAAATTTTCCTTCGCACAAAAATTTCCAAAAAATGTGAAAAAATTTGGTTTTTCGTACTACTTAAAATAAAAGCTTCAATAACTTACTCATTTTTTATCCGATTGTCGCAAAAAATTGCCATCATACAAAAAATAAGATAGTGTGATTTTATTCCTGTTCGCTTCCCCGTGCATAACGAAAATCCACGAACCGTTAAAAGGGAAAAATCCCGAAGAACCTCTTATCAACGCCAGT